GCGAACAAAGGGGTGTCTGTGAGTTTGACCTGCAGTAGACTTTGACAAAGTGCACTGCATATCGTCTTTGGCCAAATAATGCATCATTCATAAAAGAACCAGGGCAAGGGCTTTGTGGCCAAAGCCCTTCTGAGCGTAGCTTGTGCCGGCCAGTAGAAACCAGTGAGAGACGGGTGCATAATGTATGACCTGTATTCTTGTCGGGCATCACAAAGAAGCTGTCTTTTAGAAATAAATGTGTAGGTTCCTGGGAGACTGGCACTGACCCCGCCTACAAATGGCCCGGCATTTTTTCCTAAAAATCCTTTACGGTTGGTGCGATGGTTAGTTTTTTTTTGAGGAACCTTAATGGCTTCGTGGCTGCAGTAGGACACTGGAATTTGGGTGGATGACCCTGGTATCCAAGCCACGTGCATGTTTCTGCTGGTTAAATGTGGTTGGTTGGCTGATGACGGGGCTGTTCCCTTGGCCCACCCTGGCTTGTTTCCGACTAGCCACTTCGGGAGGGTTTCTGTCTACACCCTCGACCGTCTGTCACCGTACGTGTCCTAGTCTAGCATCTTGCTCCAACTTGCCAACACTCATAGCATCTCTAGGGAGGTCATGGGCAAACATGTTGCTGTGTTCAATGCATGGAAGAAAGCGGATACCTGTGGGCGAAGTGGTTTTCTGATCACTGAACTAGACCTGACTAGACCTTCAGGTGGTATTTTCCCCCTCGGTACATTTGCATTTTTTATATATTGTACCGGTGGTTGAAACACTGTTGATTGCATTCATTTTTCTTTTTTTTTTTTTTTTTTTCCCCCTTAAAAAATAGCTACCCCACGCATGCCACCCGTAAGTGATGGCATATAACTAAAAACATAGCTACTGCAACTTGCCAGTGTATTTCTCCATGACAGGTTCTCCTTCTGTGGTGCAGACAGGAAGGAGAGGCAACGTGAGCTTCATAGATTAGCACCTAAATCCAAGGGGACTCCAGCAAAAGAGATGAAGGGATAGCAACAGCCATTAACAGCAGTTGCAGCTTGTTGTCTCTTCCAGTTTTCAGCTCCTCCGACTTGTCGACAGTAATCATAAGTGATGGATCATTGGAAGGGAAACGATACAAACTATTTTCATTTCAACCACAAGTTCCTGGGCATGAAAAAGTTCATTTTTGTTCTAGGAGATGCAACTCCCTCTCAGGGTAGGCATTTTTATGTGACTTTTTCTGGCTTATGTTATAAAGGGAGTCATAGAAGAGTCGATAGGTGATCCCTTTTGGCCCGTGAAGTCCATGAATCTAGCCACGTGGGATGGTTGACAATATCCTTTGGCAGCAGCAGCCACAATTTTGATCGGTCCCTTCATCTCCTGGCTGTGGCTTGGTAGTGTGGACTGTAGCCAAGCTCATACAACCATTCCCACTTATTTCTTTGTCGTCACATGCTTGATTTTAAAAAACAAAAAACCAAAAAAACCCGCCTGTTGCTTTGACTTGACCTAATAGCAAAGCCAGACTCTGATTACGTCTCTTAGATTAGTCCTAGATCCCCCAGAATCAAGGGACCAGTCATTTTAGTTGGATTTAGGGGTGTCCACATGAGATGTCTACGAATAAAGGGGTGTAAATATCCTGGGGGGATGTGGGAAGAGGAAAAGGACATGTGTTAACAATATGGGGATAATAACCTTCTCTCCCTTCCCTTCACCCCCTCTCAGGCCTTCAAGGGGTGAGGGTGTCCTACCAGATACAGCCTCTGAGTTTCTTCCATCCCCGTCGGAGCACTTGACCACCTGCAGGAGGCTGGTCTCTGGAGTAAATAGATTTCATAGACGTTAGGGCTGGAAGGGACCTTGCGAGATCATCGGGGCCGGTCCCCTCCCCAAAGGGCAGGAAGTCAGATGCCCCCAGCAAGGTGAGCATCTAAGTGTTTCTTGAAGGTATCCAGAATAGGTACTTGCACCACTTCTGGGGGAAGTCTATTCCAAACTCTAGAGACTCGGCCGGTAAAGAAGTTTTTCCTTATGTCCGGTCTTAAGTGCTCTTTCAGCAGTCTGTGACCTTGTCTTCCCTTAGGGTGCCTTGGTGAACAGATGTTCTCCCAGATCCTGATGCACATCCCTTATATACTTATAGGCTGATAAAGGTGGCTTCTCTTCTGCAGGTAGAAGAGGGACGAGATCCTGGCTCTGCTCATGGAGGCAGAAGGGAAGTGGAGGGGACGGCATCCTTAGACTGGTCCCACACGTGGAAGGGGCAGTGTAGGATTGGAGGGGAGGCAGGGGCTGCAAAACCTGACTTTCTTCTGCAACATGGTTCTCAGGACTGGAGGGCATGTGCTAGATTTGATAGATTTCTAGGGTTGGAAGGGACCTTGTAGATCATCGAGTCCAACCCCTTGCTGTAGGCAGGAAAGAGCGCTGGATAGTAACAATCAGCCTCCCTTAAGGTTGCTTAGCATTGTGGGTGCATTGCAAATACCTACACCAGTGGTTCTCAGCCTTTTTCTGACTTGGAAAATACCAGCTCTTCATTTTCACTCCCTTTTTGACTACGTAGGAGTACTAGAGCAATTCTTCTGTTGCCAAGAACTTGGACCACAACAAGGAACAATGTTTTAATGCTACAGACTCCTGTTTGAAAGCTCTGGGTTGTTGCGAATTGTGGTCGCACCCCTAGCAAGGCTAACATTGCGTGGCACCTCGTGGCACCCCTGAAAGGTTCTCAAGGCACTCCGGGGTGCCACAACACCCTGCTTGAAAATCATTGACCTAGACTTAGCTAAGTGAAAAATATCTGGGTGCTAGCCGAGGATTTGATGTATTTGCTCTTTCGGCGTCTGCTGTTTGTGCTATAGGGCCTGGTCCTTGCTGAGAAAAACGAAAAAGCCATTTCACTTCCCCGGTGAGCAACACCGTGGAGGAGAGTGCTTCCTATTCAAAACGCTTGTATTGAAGAAAACAGTTCCCTTTTATGTCGTTTCCGAGAGATGCAAGGAAATCCTTTTATTGCCATAGATGATGCATTAAGGCGAGGCTAGATCGGAGGTGAGTGTGTCTAATTAATTAATTCAGGTTTTCAGTTTTAGGGCTGTGGAGTGGAAAGTGTAGCCCGTCTGCATGGAGCGGAGCCTTGTGGAGCCTAGCAAAGTTGGTGACTTTCTGGAGGCCGGCCAGGCCTGCTGCAGGAGCCCGGCACTTTTTCTAGAAATCTAACGGCAGAATTTGTTATGGGGTTTTGGGGTTTTTTGTTTTTGGTTTCTAGTCACTTCCTGCGTGTGATTCAGGACGAAGCACCACTTCCTGATATTCAGTATTGCTCACGAGCCACACGACTAAAAATGGATCCGCTTTGTTTTTCTGCGGTCAGATGTTGAATGCAGGGACCTTTTTTTAGGGCAGACTTAAAGAGCTGAATAGGAATCCTAGCCTTCTGTGTGAAGGTTTAGGGGAAAAAAAAAAAAAAAAAAAAGTGTACAAATTTTGGTTCAGTTTCTGCAGAAAGTCTGTTGTTCCTGCTATCAAGTGTGGCAGGGTATTTGCATGGGGACTATCCCTGTGTACTGCGAGCCAGTCCAAATGTTGCTTGGCGGGGTAGGATGTGACATGGGTTTTGAGAAATAAACATTCATTTAGGAAAAATATTGTTCGTTCTTGAAGTCCGTCGTTCTCAATGGGGGTGGCACTCTGTAGTAGCACCGGTAGGTGTGCAAACACCTATGCATGATGCACAAGATAAACCCAGAGATGTCCAGTAGAAATTTTTGGTGTTGTATCATTCTGACCTGGTGCAATCAGTTCTTCGCAACAGAAGGATTGTTCTGGCACTCGAGAAACAGGTGAAACCTCAGAGCTGGCATTTTCTGAGCGGGGGCCTTGAATCTGCGAAGGCTGAGAACGGCTCCTCTAAGTACTTGAGAGCTGAGGCTCCTCCTAAGCTGCGGTGACTTTACCTGCATTGGTTTTGTGATGGTAAAACTGATAGGCCACAGGTCGCATATGTAGAAAAGACCAAGTTTTCTCTACGTTGGTAGAGTGAGTGCCTTTTGCAAGAAGCACCAGTCTGGTGTATTCGGTGCACGATTGGTGATCTCCCTGCAGTTAAGTCAATGGCCTGTTCGCACGCTTAAACTTAACCTTGCCTTAACCTGGCCTGGGGTATGGGCATAAGGAGACGGATATGTCTTTTTGGTATGCTTGTCTGGATGCTTACTGACTATGACTAACTACAGGACTGTAACACTGCCCTACTTTTCGTTTTGCGTTAATGTGGGCGTGTTCTGATCTTTCATTTTTGCAAAATTCATTGCAAAATTTCATTTTTTTTCCCCCCTTTGCAATTTTCAGTGTCACTTCACTGGCTTCTCTGACGTCTGTGGTGGCTGAGTGGGGATCAGTGGTGGAAAATGTGTTTTAAACAAATAGATACTGGGATGCTTGCTTTTTGGAGGCGCCCTAATGCACGGTTGCACCAACTTGCTGAGTAGGTTCGCCAAACAGCTACCCACAGGAATAAACACCAGGTTAAATTTAGACTCTTCCACCGCAGAACCTGCCGTGCAAATTTTCTTCTGAACCGCGGCTCCTGGTATTAGCGTCGTTCTAATTCACCGCCTGATTGCTAAAAACAGCTTGTCAGATTGTTTTTCTTCAGTGACACTGACTGATGGGAGCCTGCAGAGATGGAAATAGGTGATAAAGCCTTGGCACGTTGCTGGTGAGCTTAGAGGAACTACACACTGCCTCTAACAGTTTCGCTTGGTTGTGATGCAAGTGTGGGCTTGGCTTAAGGGCGACCTGACTTGTGTTAAGGCACTCACCTGTGGGAGCATGTTCACAGCATAACTTCGTCCCTGGGAGTTGAATGGTCGGAAGTGATAAACGACGTATGGAAATATCTCAATTTCCAGGCCAGATTTGCTGCATCGAAGTTCCTGAACAGTGCATTACAACAATTCATCGCTGAACAAGAGACCAAGATTGCTTATCTTTTTTTCTTTTTCTTTTCTCAGCAGTTCCAGCACGGTGGGTCTGTCCCACTTAAGTCGTTCTGGTACATTAAAGCTGCAGCGGACTGAAACATTCACAGTGCAGACAGCAACTTAACGGTAAGAGAAATCCAGTATGATTTAAACGACTATATGAAACTATTTGCAAACAGGATCAACATTTGCAAATAGGGATCCCTTATTTCTGAAGTTTAGATTCCTGTGCAGTTGTCCTACCTCCGCCTAGGAAGGTGGTGCAGCGGTATTTTTTCGACCCTTCTTGCTTCTGGCCTGTCATACGCGAGTCGATGCTATCATTTAAATCCATTCGTATAGACATAAGATTATAGGAAAGCAGGGCTGGAAGGGACTATGCAAAGAAAGAGGTGTTTCTACCTTATAGAAACTATACATTTCATTACCATATTGCTGTGATACTCCATGCATGGCCCCTCCCTTCCCTCTTTCCCAGGTGTCAGATATAAAGCTGGCTCAGGTTTGAGCAAGGATCATAGTCCAGCTCTTTGGGTGGTGAGTGTGAAGTCTTTCGAAGTGGAGCCGTTCTGCTTGGCGTTTATGACCAGTAGTGTAGCAATGAGTGGGCAGGTGTGTCCCTGTTCTTCATTTTTCCCCTTCTCCTATCCCACCTCACTTCCATGCAGTGGGTCCAGTGCATGCAGTGCACTTCCATGCAGTGCCATGCCGCACGGCGGAGGGTCAGCAGCCAGAGAAACGGGGTGCTGCAGGGTGGGAGGTGTTACAGAGGGCTAACCTTACCTTCCTTCTTTCTGCTACTGAAAATCAGTGCTTTAAATGGCTGGGACACACACATCAGCAGCAAGAAAAGGAGGTGACATCTTCCCCTGCAGTAGTGAGCCTCTGCTTTCACGGCCCTGGCCAGTCACACCTCTGGTTATGTCTTTATCTGTGCTGTCAAGCCTCCGCCAGGAGCTCGTGGCAACCTGTGGCTGAAAGGGTTGAACGACTGATGGCTGAACAGAAAGCAAAGCAGAGCTGTACGTCTGAGCGGGGCTGCTTTTTTCTAATGTTTTTGTATGAACGGAAGAGCGGGTCACTGCCTTTTTTTAGATAAAGGCACGTTGGGAAGGTCTCATTTCTGTGCTTGTAACATTAATTTCTTTCCATGTCGCTTTTCTCTGTATTACAAGCTGCTTCTGACCTTGTCTTTAATGCTTCAAGGCATTGTTGGAGGAGTGCAGAAAGTTATCCATCTCCTAGTAACAACTGTGACATCTTGCTCTGGTCCAGCAGGGTTTTGTGCTTCCCCACATCATTCCTCTGAGCTGGGACGAGTGCAATGGGACAGAGAGTACTGGTAGTATTTGTACTTCGAAAAGAGATCTCTCTCGTGGATGGTACAGCCATAGGCAAAATAATTTTTCATAGGTGATGTCTATTCTTAAACTGTTTTCTAAACCCAGTGACGCTTCCTAGATTTGAAATCTTTGCTTCGGTTTGCAAGATAAGGCCAGCAAAGTGTTTGAATTACTGCAAGGATGGGGGTTTTGCCACCTTCTGTTTCTAATTTTCCTGGGTTTCCAAGCTGCCTTGGCTGAAACTCTCCCTGCAAAATGTTTAAAGCTAAATGAGATAAATCATCTAATCCATTTGGTCTGCCCCTGAAATCTGATTTTAATTTGAGCAGGGTCCATTTCAGCTTCTCCTGTAATTTCGACTTTAATCTGGAGGATGAGGAATGGGTGCCAGTAAGCAGTTTCTTCTAGCCGGACGTACTTCCTCTTCAATAAACTGCTTTGTAGTGTCATTTTAAGGAAAGAATCCAAGACTTTCATCTTGTGGCAAATATGGAAACAAATCCCCCCAAATGTAACTGTTAGGTTGCAAATGTAAAAGCGTCAGAAGGAACCAGCGACCTTTTGGGGAGCAAAATCATCTCCTTGGGGTTTGTCTGTTAGGACTCAACCCAGAAGTTGAACGAGTTGGAAAACCATGGTATGAAATGACTGCATTTTTTTTCTGAAAGGTATGCACACATGCAAAAGGCAGGGGCTGTTTTAATAAGTCAGACTTAATTCTTGCTTCACCATTTACTCAAAGAATTCCTGGGCAGCCGTGAACAGTTTTTATTCTGTTGTTGTTTAAAGCTATTTCTGCATAAGGTTCAACTTGTGAATAAGGTTCAGTAAGAGAAGACCCGATGCTTTGTCAATACCGTTACGTATTATAGCAACGCGTAGCTGGGAGGATGAAGCTGGTGTGAAGAAGAGCATTGAGGAGAGGCCTATTCTCTCTGCTAAATGTCTTGCATTCAGTGTAAATGGCAGGCTGGGAAACAAATATTACTCTGGATATTAAAGCTCACAGGGGCCTGGACGTTGTGCTCTTGGGTAGAGGTTGGCAACTTTTTTGGCTGGTGGTCCAGATTGACGTAGCTCAGGTCCAAGGTGGACCAGGACCAGGACCCAGTTGCTTTTGTTGCTGTTGCCATTGCTTCTCCGAATAGTTTGGCCATGGCTGTAAATTGCCAATCCATGCTCTAGAGGACTTCGTTCACCGTGACATAAATTCAGTCCTGGTATAAAGCCGCAGCCCTCAGGCTCTACTGCTGTGTCCAACACAAAGATATGCATGGTTTCAGGTAGGGCTTCTTTGCAAGAGGCCCTGGAGCTGCTGGAGCTTGAGCTATCGCTTGTGGGTTCGGAGGCCTCGTCCGGTGCCATCTGGTGCGACAGCAAGAGGGCGGCTTTTGACACATTGATGTCCGAGGAGTTGCACCTGTTTCCCCAGGGCTGCCGTTGGCACGTGATTTCCATGCTCTCTGACAGGGTACCGAAAGGGAAGCTCTGCTCTGTGAAAGGAGGTGGTGACGGGAATAATAACCTGTCCTTCACCAAGAGCCCATCATCTGGAGAGACTTCTGATCATACCTTGCTACCCATCTTGTCATGCAGGTGATATCCTCCCAATTCTGGTTCCTTCAGCTACCTGCTGTGCATTGAAATCCCGAGGAAAAGCTTGTTCCCTCAGCATTGCCCATGCCAAGTGTGTCAAAAACTTGGGGGGAAGAACATGTGGCTTGTATTAGTCCTAGATGGCAAATACGTTTCATAGTTTCATAGTTGGTCGGGTCGGACGGGACCTGAGCAGATCATCAAGTCCGACCCCCTGCCATGGCAGGAAAGAGTACTGGGGGCAAACGACCCCCG